TTTTAACTCTTGAACCTTATTAACGTTCGTTTTTCTCTGGTCCAGAGAACTAATGGCGCCTAGACTCCCTCCTCCTCCTCAACCAAGCGAACCTGATACGTCCAACAACACTAGGCTGTTGGAATCAGTAATCGATAGACTGCAGCAGCAGAATGTCACTTTAATGGAGCAGAACGCCACCCTGATGCAACAGAATCAGAGCGTCATGCAGAGTTTGGAAGCCTCTCGTGTAAATTCTGAAACGACCCAGAGGCAGTTGATGGAAATCCTAGCAGCAACCAGGCACACTCCGGGGGCATCCTCTTCCAACGCTGCCCAACCTACTGCTGAGTGGAGCTTGGAGAGTTTCCTTCAGCATCACCCGGCCAAGTTCAGTGGGAAGTTCCTCCCTGATGAGGCTGACCAGTGGCTGAGAGATATGGAACGTATTTACAATGCTAAGCGGTGTCCGGATGACAACCGTTTGGCATTTACAGAATATTTGCTGACGGGTGAAGCTAGCCACTGGTGGGCGAGCGCGAGAGCCATTCTGACGGACGCTCAACAACCGATCACTTGGGAAGTGTTTAGAAATAAGTTTTATGAAGAATACTTCCCTGACAGCGTTCGGTTTGCAAAGGAGGTGGAATTTCTACAGCTGGTTCAGGGGGGTATGTCTGTTTCAGAGTACACCAATAAGTTCAAGCACCTCGTCAGATTTAATACTATGGCCACAAGTGAGGAGTGGCAGTGCAGGAAATTTGAGAATGGGCTAAGGAGTGATCTGAAGGTGTTGATCTCAAGCTTGTGTATTCGGGCTTTTCCTGCCATGGTTGAACGAGCTAAAGTATTGGAGAAGAATATGGCAGAGGCGGAACGGCAGAAGAAGCATCAACAAACAGTAAGGGGACCGATCGTCTCAAGGGGCACTATTAATCAGAGGGGATCTCCCTACACTTGTCCAAATCAACCACCGAATACAAGTGGATCTCAAGCGCTAGTCACTGCTGGACAGTCTGGGCAGCAAGGAAACGTCACTTGTTTCCAATGTGGAGGACCACACTATCGTTCGTCATGTCCTCAACTGATGGGAGGAAGATTCTGCGTTCGTTGTAGAAGAAGTGGACATCTGGAAAATGAGTGTAACATGGGAGGACGAGTGGCAATGAGGCCGCCAAACGCTGGGAGAGCACAACAAGAGCGAGGTGGACGAGCGCAGGCAGTGGGGAGAGTGTACGCAATTACGGGCGTTGAAGCTGCTAGCTCGGGTATACTCTTCACTGTAATTGCTTATTGTATGAACTGCCTTGTCCTGCGTCATTAAATTGTTGTGATATCAAAGTTGTTTGGTCTGGTGGTGTAAACACCAGCAATTGGATTAGTTTGGATACCCGACCCGTGAGATAGATGTTCATTACTATGTTAGTAAGAGTNACAAAGTTGTTTGGTCTGGTGGTGTAAACACCAGCAATTGGATTAGTTTGGATACCCGACCCGTGAGATAGATGTTCATTACTATGTTAGTAAGAGTATTATTTTCTGGAATTGACTAACTTAGGAGATACTTCACGTGAATGCGTTTGCATTCGGTATCTATTAAGATAGATCGTTCGACAGCAAGAGAGTAACCGAGCGGTAACTGTAAACGTCTGAATTAGTGAGTCGTCCTGAAGGGGCGCCAAGGTTATCTACTCAGAGTAGAGTTGAGTTTCTTTTGCATTAAGGCCAGGTAGAGATTTTCATTTCATCTCTTGGATCTGTGCAATTATCTAAGAGTAAGTTGGGCAACCAGTTGAGGATTCGTTCAACTTATTACCTCAGACGGACGGCCAGTCTGAACGGACCATACAGACGCTGGAAGATTTACTGAGGACGTGCGTCCTAGATCACTTAGGCGCCTGGGATGAGGTCCTGCCGCTAGTGGAGTTCACGTATAACAACAGTTTTCAGGCGAGCATTGGAATGGCACCGTTTGAAGCACTCTATGGGAGGAAATGTCGAACGCCACTTTGTTGGTTCAAGGAAGGAGAGAACGTGCTAACTGGACCTGAACTTATCCAACAAACGACCGAGAAAGTGAAGTTAATCCAGGAGAGTTTGAAGACGTTGAGGAGCAGGCAGAAGTCCTATGCCGACAAGAGAAGAAGACCGTTAGAGTTCCAAGCTGGCGATCACGTATTCCTTAGACTGAATCCAACCACGGGAGTCGGCAGAGCTATGCGACCAAAGAAATTATCCCCGAAGTTCGTCGGACCCTATCAAATACTAAGGAAGATTGGCCCAGTAGCGTACGAGCTAGCATTGCCTCCTCAACTGTCGAACCTTCACCCAGTTTTCCACGTTTCCCAACTTCGGAAATACATAGCAAACCCATCCCACGTACTAGAGTTGGAAGACGTTCGACTTCGTCCAGACAGAACGTTGGAGATGCAGCCGGTGCGCATTGTAGAGAGTGATACCAGATATTACAAGCGGAAAGCTGTCCGAATGGTGAAGGTAGTATGGAATGAAAAGACGGGCGACACTACGTGGGAAGTCGAGAGTGCCATAAAGGATTTGTACCCTCACTTATTCTCGGGTAAGTCTTAATTTTCGAGGACGAAAATTTTTGTAGTTAGGGAGAATGTAAGACCCTAGAAAAACGAGCGCCATTAATCCCTGTCTCATCCTCATTAATTTCCCTAAAAACCCTTCTGCCGTGCATTAAAAACGCACTTCCAGGCTCACTGCCTTCCTGCCAGGTGTCGCGATGGAATGTTCCTAAATCAGTAGTGGAAGACAAGTGGCAGCAAGAGAACGGACGTTGGTTTTTAAACAAAAATGAATTTTCTGAAGTCCGCATCACTCTTTGCATGCACTCTTCTTCTTCCTCAGATTCTAACTTTTCATATTCTTCACCTTCTCTCTAGAAACCTCTACCTTCTCTCTACTGAAAACTTCTTCTTTCTCTTCTCCGTTCACGTTTCAGAAACCGTAGAACCATTCCTGGTGTCGTGAGCTTCGTTTTGAACCGATCACCTCAACGTTCTGATACTGGTAAGTCTCTCTTCTTCGTCGAACGTTTTCTGTCTCATGCAAAGCCAAATCCTGGTTGCATGAAGGGTTGAGTTCTTAGTATTTCTTGGTTTT